CAATTTCCTTCAGCAGAGAACACTAAGGAAATATCCCACATTATAACATTCAGCTCCTAAGCCTGTTTGGGCTCCCCAAAACACATTTAAATACAGTGCAGCCAAACTAGTCCAAAATTATATTCCAGTATTTACCACTGAAAGATGCAAAAGTTTGAACTTTTTTGCACAAAATCCACAGCTATTTTATTGACACCATAACAATTTTAAGCTCAAATATAATCTGCTCCTGTTTAATTTTAGCAGTTGCTGAGGAGGCCGATGGGAACAGCTGCATGCAAATGTCTGCATTAGAGCCACTTCTAAAATCTGCTTTGTGTTGGCTTTTTTTCTTTTTTTTTGTGCAGGAAAACATATTATTTGGTTGTTTTTTTTTTGTGAGGAGAAAAATTTCAGCTGGATGTATAGTGCAAAAATTCCTGGTGGGCCGGGACACAGCGAGTGAGCACAGCCCATGGTGCCACCAGGAGCTGGCACAGCCTAAAATATCAACCTGAGTATTAAAAATGCAGCTTTCAGTGCTAGACCTTGTTTAGCTGCATATACACAACGTGATGGCCCCACCCCTGCCTCTTCTACGCTGCATTGTATCTGTAATTTTTCATTTTTTTAGGTATTTTTTAGGTACTTTTAAATAAATCCGCCTGTTTGAATTTCTGTCAACCCAAGTCCAATTCTCGTTTAGTTAAATTATGCTCATCATTCCTCATTTTATTTCTCTCAAGATGGTTTTTCAGATGATTTGATGCAAAGAAAAAATTACATTCCTTCATGTAACACCTCTGCTTTCATCACCATCAAAATTTAGAGGGGGACCTTTGCATTCTATGTTAGTGAAATACAACAAAAGAGTCACACATTTTGACATTTTTCCTTTTTAAAATGAAGAAAAACTACTATCATTTATCATTTAAATAACGTCAGCTGACAGGTAAGATTGAAAAGCTCACTAAGATTTTAAATAGATGATTTTTTTTCAAGGTAAAGATGGAAAATGGAAGCAGGAATTCTGTGCTTATTCCAAGAATTCAGGCAGATCCTTAAGCTGGGATGGAGAATGAACAGTTACTATTTCCAGAAATACAAGAAGCTTTGGTCAAACCATCTGGGGTGTTTTTTTTAATGTTGAGAAACCAGTTTTATTCCTATAGCTTCCATCCTAGGATAAGGCTTCCAAAGAGAGTCCCAATTATAACTTGTTCATGGGACACAAGTTATATTTTTGTGGTTAAGAGTGCTGAGTAAAATAAAAAAAAAAATAAAAGGAAAAAGAAGCAAGTGATTCATTGGAAACAAATCTGGATGGGCCTTATTACAAGTGGTTGGCATAAAGGAAAATTTTCAGGAGATAACTCAGTGAAATAAATATGGAACAGTTAATCAATGCCACTGATTGTCTGGAAAAAGGTAATTTACAGGTCATTTAATACAATACCAATTTTCTGTACATGTCCAGGTTTCAAAAATTTTATAAATCTGCATCACACAAGGGTAATTTCATCAAAAACCTCTTTTTTTTTTTTTGCTTTTTCAGAAGTACAGTCAGACCAAGGTATAAATGAGGAAACCAAATCTCAAAAACTGCACTGATTTGTGTTCACTGAATTTCCAGCTTATATTGGGAGAAAAAGTTTAGTCCTGTGTTCTGCTTCTTGGAAATTTAAACACTTTCTGTTGGCAAAAAGGTGGCTTTTCTTGTTGTTCTGTAAACTGCAGCTGGAACCTTGAAATACCCGAAATCTGAGCTACCAAAAGACTCTGTTTTGTTCCAATGAATCGTATTTAATGCCAGCAACAAAGTTAAGAATGCAAGGAGAATATAGGTAAGCTCTGGGTGCAGGAATTTGCCAGTGTCTCAAAAAAAAAAATCAAATTTCACAGAGTGCTACTAAGATCTAGTGAAGGTTTTCATGTTCTTTCTTTGCAACAGTCAAGGATTTCAATTAAAAATTGGGTTATTTGACTGTTCAGTCCTACATTGGTTCATGTGTCAAAAAACATTCTGTAAGTAAAAGTGATTTTCACTTCCATTGTGAATGAAAAGTTTCCCAACCACGAGGCAAAGAGAAGCACAATATTCTCAGTGATTCCAAGGTAATTAGTACATTTAAAACATCATACAGAAGGATTAGGAATTGTCAAGTGGAGCAGCATAACTGTGTTATAGGCAAGGAAAAAACCCCATAAACTGAAGAGAACAGGGATCAAATCTCTCTCTTTTCAGCCAAATTCAGTCAATGCTTCTTTTTGGTATTTTTTGTAATAGCAGGGAAAAATCAATTCACAAAACTGATTTAAAAATGTATTTCATTTGATGAAATGCCACTGAACAGGAATTACCAAGTGGCTGCTGCTCATTATCTCAGTTTTCCTACTTTTCCCTTCTCTTCTAAGGTTAATCTCAGCTGAAAACCTGATGGCACAGCAAATTTGACCCTCTAGGATGGGGATCAGAGATTTTGGTTGATCATCTGATACAATCACTCAGAGTAAACCACAATTTTAACTTAAGGAATGCAGTGTGCAAAGTAAGATGGCAAGAATTGGGCAACAGTCATTCCATTCCATCATTTGGCTTTCGTTGCAGGAAGAAATTAAGATGTTGTTGGAAGAAATTGCAGATAAAGCAAGTTTTGCGTCTTATTTTTATTAAGAATGTCACCAGTTTTTATACAATCAGAATTTAACTGTGCAAATCCAACAGGCTGTACCAGCTGTGGTCAAACATACAGAAAACCTTGAACTTGGACGTTTCCAAAGAGATAAATTACAGCCCTGAGGCCCAACTAAAATCTGAACAAATGGCCTCAACTAAACAATAGCAAATAGGAAAGTGATACACATTTAATATTAAATAATAAGTAGGAAAAAAACCAACCAAAACAACAAACCAAACCCAAACATTAAAAAGAAACAACCTGAAAGATTCAGCTTAAAGCTCCCCACCTGTTGAACACTGAGCTGTGTCCAGAGCTGAGGGGGGGATTAAATTGGATGTTTTACTGTCAGAGAACAAAAACATGGGAAAGGAGGGAGAAGCCTGAGGCTGTGGATGGATGGAACAGGTTCCATCCACTCCTGGAAGCAAGAAGAACCACCCCACTACTGCATTTACAATGGTTCCCAATTCCAGCACCAAAACCAAAGCCAGGCTTTAGAAACACTGGTGATGAACTCACCTGGCTTTGCTTTCCAACCTCCTGGGACTGTCTTTGGGAGGGCAGGGTGGACCTTTCTATCTTGGTTCTAACAAAACAATTTTGGTTTTGTCTTTTTTTTTTTTTTCTTTGTCTTTTCTAAAATATCAATAACTGGAACAAAATTCAAGAGCTAAATGTTCAATCTCTGTCTGGTCTGTGTCCCTCTACGACCACATTCCATCATATACAGCAAATGTTGTGACAGGATTGTCAGAATTTTTTTCCACCAACAGTTACAAATGCTTTAGGGAAACTTTCCCTTTAAGGATTTGCTTCTCAGGATATGGTGAAATTGCTATAGAAACGTTCTCAGCAATTGCTTTTTTTTGAGTCTTTACATCATTGGCTACCAAAAATCAGTTTACAAAATAGCCTCCATGCAACAAAAACAATACACAGGTTCTGCTACAGAGAATTTGAGAGTAAAGGCACATCGTGCTCAAATAATTTAAATGCAAGTAAACCCTTGGAAATTTAGTATGAAAAACTTCTCTTTTATTGAAACAATGCCTTTTTATTACAGAAATATTAATACAAAAACAATGAGGACAGCATGAAGGTACTGAGAGACAGAAGCCAGGGAACAGTAGGTTTGCAGGTAAAACAAAAACCCAACAGATTTGCTGCAAGCAGAGCAGAAAGTGGTTTGCTGAGACAAGGAACTTAACTTACAGAGCTGAAGTCTGCAAACCCCAAGGAAGAGTCTTTAGAAGTTTTACTTGAAGAGGAGGGAGCAAATGGATCTTTTCCACTAAATGGGTCCCCAAACCCCTTTTTACTTTGAAAGGGGTCACTGCTGTCAGCCCCAAATGGCTGGAATGGATCATGGGGCTTGGGAAAATCTGCAGGCCCAAGGTGGCTGACAGGAGTGCTTTTACCTGGAAAGTTTAGGAAAAAACAAAAACAAAAACAAAAGGAGAAAAAGAGAAGTTACTTACCATGGACAATGCAAAGCCCTGAAATAGGAAACTGTGCTGACACACTTTAAGCATCATCCATCCTCCCTGGGGTGAAAATTTAACCAAATATAATGGTATTCATTCCTCAGTGCAAATCATCTCAAACAGTTGTTTTATTTAAATGGGGGGTTATTGTCTTATACATACCAAAATATTAATACCAGCAAGATTTTAAATGATAAAACCCAATATGAAGGCATTTGGTCAAAAGAATTTGGCAAGTGTGACTTTGATTTTCCAGGATTAGAGGCATTTCAAGTTTAAGTTTGGGATTATATAAAAGGCAAAATACATAAAAATATGTATCACTAAAGATAGATCATGATAAATAGGATTAAATGGCAACTCAGCTGTGACTTTACAGAATGCCTGCATTCTGCCTTTTTTCCCTGGGACTGGTTTATCCTTCTACCACCACTTTTTTACAAGGAAAAAGAGATTGATTAAGAAAACACCTCGTTCTGGGGTGCTTGCTCTGCAACCCACCTCTTGTAGGTGACTGCTTGTTCTTCTATTCCACCCCAATAACAAATGAAATCACAGCAATTATTGTGTAATATAATAATGTTTGTATATTTTCTTTGTTGCAATTAAAACTTCAGTGGTTAGTTTTTAATTCCCCTTGTCAAAAGTACTATTCTGTGAGGTCAAATAACCAAACAGATAAATGTATTTTTTTTTTCCTCTTAGAAAAAAAAAAAAAGATTCTCCTGACAAGTACACACCCAATTTCCAGGGAAAATACTCCTTGGATTACATATACTTGGATTACATATACTCTTGATTACAATGTGCACTTGATAAAGGAAAATCTACAAACATTCTTAAAACAAGCATTTACAACTTTCTGTGTAACAACCTGAATCACAGACATTATCTGCAGTAAAGTTATCATCTGTTCTGGAATGTCCAATTCTTGGAACTATAATTTAACAGGAATCTTATAATGTATTCCCATCAGAGTAATCATACTAGGAAAGCACAACTCCCAAATTTCAGAGGATGTACTTGGCATGTCTCAGCCACAGCCTGGGAGCTTTTAAGGTACTTTGGCAGCTGCTCATAAACTTCATAATATTTGCTCAGATCTGAGGAAATCCTCATTTATCAAAGAGAAAGAGAGCAGAAAACTTGGACTAAATTGATCACCCATCCAGCAGCTGCCAATAAATCCCAGCTCAGCCTCTCCTACCCCAGGGCCAGCCTAAAGTCCATCTTCCCTTGCTGGTCTCTATTCCCAAAAGTCAACAGGCACAGGGAGCTGAAGGAATCAGGTGTACAGGGAAGTGAAGGGATCAGGTGTACAGGGAGCTGAAGGGATCTGGTGTACAGGGAAGTGAAGGAATCAGGTGTACAGGGAGCTGAAGGGATCTGGTGTACAGGGAGGTGAAGGGATCTGGTGTACAGGGAACAGAAGGGATCAGGTTTAGAGGAGCTGAAGGAACCAGGTGTACAGGGAACTGAGGAATCAGGTGTACAGGGAGCTGAAGGAATCAGGTGTACAGGGAAGTGAAGGAATCAGGTGTACAGGGAGCTGAAGGGATCAGGTGTACAGGGAAGTGAAGTAATCAGGTTTACAAGGAACTGAGGAATCAGATGTACAGGGAGCTGGAGAGATCAGGTGTACAGGGAACTGAGGGACCTGAGGAATCAGGTGTTCAGGGAGCTGAAGGGATCAGGTGTACAGGGAACTGAAGGGATCAGGTGTACAGGGAACTGAAGGGATCAGGTTTACAGGGAACTGAAGGAATCAGGTGTACAGGGAACTGAAGGAATCAGGTGTACAGGGAACTGAGGAATCAGGTGTACAGGGAACTGAAGGAATCAGGTTTACAGGGAACTGAAGGGATCAGGTTTACAGGGAGCTGAAGGAATTGTGCAGATTCTCAGCAGTGCAGTGTCAATGCCAGAGTCAGATGCAATACAGGCACTGAGCTGCAGGGGAAGTGGGAAGCAAGGAAGTCCCCAGCTGAACAAGCACACAGAGACATGGAAAACAAGACACGTGCAGTAGGAGATAGAAGTGGATTTGTTTTCTCTTGAGAGTGTTCAGTGGGAACCTGATCATAGTCCTGGAGGCAAGTCTTTCATCAGGAGAAAGCCAAATGGATTCAGACTGGACCAAGGGAGATTCACATTAGACAATCAAACATTTTGAAAACTTAAGGATCCTCCAGACTGCCCAGGGAACTTATTGCATTTCAGCACCATGTCCATGAGGTTTGAGAAATGGTTTCTAGAAACCCCACTGGTTTAGCTGCCTTGAAGCTGCAGGATAAAGGAGGCCTCTCAAAGCTCCCCCCAGTACAATTGGCCATGGTTCAGCACATGCTCCATCCTGGATCACAGATGTGACAGGGATATATGGATCCCCATGGTAGCAACCACATGGGGGACTCCTGAAGAGAGGTAGGTCAGGCCAGTAATTTGTTCTTTATGGAAGTAAGTGACCCAATACACAGGAAATTCCAGCAACATTTGCTCTCCTCACAAGCACAGACCCCCCTTCACCCCAACCAGCCTTTCCTACCAACAGAGGTCATGGGTTGGGTAGGCTTGGGTTGGAAGGGACCTTAAAGCTCATCCAGTTCCAATTCCCTGCCCCAGGTTCCACTAGACCACATTGCTCCAAGCCCTGTCCAACCTGGCCTTGGAGAATTGCAAGAGAATCAAATTATCTGCATTTCTAATTGAAGGTCAAGGCAAAACAAAAGCCCTCTACATTTCCCCTCCTTCCTCTATTGCCAGTTACCAGCAAGAAAATTCCCCCTCATATCCTCCACCCTGTATTGCCCCAGAGCAATTTGGAGTGACAGAGGCAAACCCAGCCCCTCTTAAGCTGCCCTTTTTTCTTAGGTTAAACCTTCTGCTACCGAAACCACTTTGTGGAATTGGTGACTGTTAACACAAACTCCGGGTTTGCAACGTATTTGTTCAGCAAACTTGGCTTTTCTGGGTGGCCTGTTTAAGGTTCTTGCACAAAGGTCCTGGTGGTTTTGAACCTGCACAGAGCATCAGAGTTTTCTTGTGCTTCACCTTCATGAAAGATCACAAAGAATCACTTTGCTGTAGAGGAAATGTCACCATGTCACAAGAGTTAGTGCTAATAATAAGGACAATTTTCATTTTACACTCTGAGTGCTATTTTTTTTTTCAGGTGTTAGGACAGAATAGGGTGATAATGTTGTTATTTTGAAGAAAAAGTGAAAGAGGGAAACCCTTATACAGCGGGGTTTCTTTTTTGCAGAGCAATTTTAAGGGCAGCACCAAAGCTGAACACACCAACCCCAGCACTCAGAAGAGCCCCTCAAAAAGCCCTGGAATCCCAGAATATATCCTGAGTTTGAAGAGACTGAAACAGTTAATGATTTTACACATCCTGAGATCACCAGAAGACTTTTGCAAACTAAAAAAAGCAGCAAAGCCCATCCCTCCCTAAATGCTGCCAAAGGACCTTCAGATCAGATCAGTGGGTGCCATTGTCCAGCTATCCTGGGTGCAGTGCTTTACTCACCCTTATTCTGTCTTTTCCTTTCTCCCCCTTATGCATTTTCCTTTTAAGTGTGATCTTTATGCTTTTAATATTGCTGCATTGCTATAGAGTGATAACAACACACCTGTTTAACTTTGGAAACAAAACTGCTCCAAAATAAACCCTACATATATATGTTTACAAACACTAATTATTCAGTGTTGTCTCACTCTAATCCACCCCAAGGGATTTATTAATAAGAACCTGGGTTACCCTCCCCTTTCTGACAGAGTCCAACTGCCAAATCCAGATCCCTCTTTCACCACCCTTTGTACGTTATTACAGTTTCTTTTATGCTGCCACGCTCTGCAAAAATGGTTTTGAGGCCTGGCAGGAGTTTGTTTGGTTCAGTTAGAAGTTCAAATTTACTCATTTATTAACCACAAATTAGTAATAACGACACCAGAATTATCTATCTGACATCTTTGCTGGCTTACACCACGTGTAAGTCTCCCAGAGTAGTAAGTGAACACTTGAGCACTCAAAGATTTTTGCATTTCCATGTTTAGAGTGTCAAGACTGTGGGTACAGTATTTTTATAATGTAAAGCAAAAATACCCAAACCACGTAAAAAAGTCACCAGTTGAACTGAAGGACACTGTGTAAAATTCTAACACTGCAAAATATACTCTCAGTAGTAACTGAGACTGCATTAATCTTCCATTTGCTGGAAAATGTTGTATTTTTACACGACCCTGCTCACCATTTTGAGGCATGGCAGCACGAAAGTGCAGGCAAGCAGTTGTAACCCTCATTTGATTTTTCTGCTAATAGTTTCAGGGGAAAAAAATTCAGAAAAAAGCACAACAGGTCCTATTCTGAAACCACAGCAGTTTCAGCAGTTACCCAAGTGGTGCACCCAAACCACACCGAGGACTCACTTCAGCAAAAAGAGATGATGAACAAAATGGTTTACCACAGCAAGTGCTGTTACTGAGAGTGAACTCCACCCATACAAAGGGTTTATCTCATTTCTTACCCCACAGCAAACTCGAATTTAGAGGGTTAAGATCTACATTTCAAGGCAAATAAAACCTCACTGGTCGGAGGCAAATACAAATTTTGTCTTAGTGAATCACAAGATGTTGATAACGAAGCAAAACATTTACAGTTTTTTCCATATTCTGTGTTTCAATGCAGGGCTTAACTTTCTGCTTAGAGGAGGATCTTGCTGAGTGATGAGAAGCAGAATTTTCCCTGCTCATGGGCTAACAGGGTAGAGCTGAGATGACACAACTTTAAACTTTCCAGGAAACTTTCTGAATTGAAAAATATGCTTTGAGAAGTCAGAGTTGTGCTGCAGAGGATAAGGAACAATAGTGTGAGTCAAGTCCACACCTGTGATTATACCTGAATGTATAATCCCAGGGTTTCTACATCTGTTCCT